AAATGCTATAAAACCTCCTATTAAGGATTATAATATTACTTGGACTGACCAGATTATTGATGATTCCTTACCAATAGAAACTAATACAAATGATAAACCAACTATTAGTTTCTATAGTGATAATACTACACCTCCACCGGCTGTACAGAACATCTTTACGGATATAAAAATTCAACAAGCTCCATTTTTAATTCCACCAATTTATCCTGGTGCTCGATTCATAGTTTATTGCATTTTAGAAAAAGGTGTTGAAGCTTGTAAAGAAATTTTATTGAGTGCAAGTTCTCACGATGGTCCTATGAAACTTTCTATTCCATTAAATCACGTAATTTTAAAAGGATCAAAAATACATACACTTGCTGCCAGAAAACTTATTCAAGACATTGAAGATGGAACTTCATTTATTCATAAGCATCCAAGAAATATGGGAAAAAGTTTACCAAACTCACTTATTCGTAAGCAAATTGTAAAGTTGGGTGTAATATATAACTTGGCTTCGAAATATACAAGGTAATTTGTTATAAATTTTCTTAACGTATTGTTTTTTTTTACAGCTAATATGAATATTAATCATTTTTTGATATATTTAGTTTTCTTGCAATTGATAAAAGAAATATTGAGTTAATGACTGAAGTCAAAAGTTTACCAGGCCAAAAAATAGTTCCAGTTTCTGCTGCTGCTGCTGCTTATTCAGCTTATCCAGCTCCAGCTTCTAGATCCTCCTCCTTTAGCTGCTAACTTTTATTCACAAGCTTCTCCAGCTGCACAATCTCCGTCAGATGCTAATAAGAATTCAACTTTAGCTGGATATTTCTCTTCACTTAAGGCTCGTAAATCCTCTCTACATTCTTATTTTTCTAAATCTAAAAAGTGTAAGTAATATATTAACATAATCCAAAAGCAATTCATATAATGTATAACTTATTAATGTTACTGGGTTCTTCTCATGGAACAGTTCCTCAATTTCCAGAAAGTAGTGATTCTGCTATACAGGCTACTGATGTATCAAAAATATCCAAAACATCATTTTCTTCAAGTCCAAATCTTTCTAATAGAAGTCAACTGTCTTCTCAACCTCGCTCTATGTCTTTGAATATTAATTTATTTGGTGTGCGCGGCATAGAACACAATTATGCTCCTAATTCAACTTCAGCTGGTTATTTCTCTTCACCTAAGACCCGTAAATCTTCTTTATATTCTTATTTTTCTAAATCTAAAAAATGTAAGTAATATTTATTATAATTCAAAAGTAATATAATGTAAATTTGTTAATGTTACTGGTTGCTTCTCATGAATTAGTACCTCAATTTTCAGCAGGTAATGATTCTGTTATACAGGCTGCTAGTTTATCAAAAACATCCAAAGCAGCATCACTTTCTTCAAGTCCAATTCTTTCTAATAGAAGCCGACTATCTTATCAGTCTCGTTCTATGTCTTTGAATGATGGGTTTAATCTAAGTAGAATACGTGAAAGCGATGATTCTTATGAATCATTATTCGATGACTCTTATGAAATTTATAAGTCTTTTGAACCAGTTTTACCAGCTATTTCTGTAAAATCAAAACCTCCAAAGATTGAAACTCTTTATAAATTTCTTGATTTTCAATCATTTGATGGTTCATTTTTACCATCTGCTAAATTTTATTATTGGTTTAGTAAAAATGATTTTAAAGATTTTGAAGTTAATGGAGTTGAAAATGAAAAGGTATTATGTTTGGCATTAGCAATAGCATATTTGGAAATTATAATATTTGAAACATTTAAGGATGAATGTGAGATGTGTTATGAAAAAGCTAAAAAAGCTTTGAAAAAAGAGGTTGTTGGTGATGACAAAAAGATTAATGAGATTTTGGAAAAAGCTAAAGAATGGGTTAAAATGTGGGCTGACGAATAATTGATTAGTATTAATATGTTTTATTTAAATGCTAGCATTCTGAGTGCTTTATTAATTAGTGATTTTTAAATATTTAAGATCAAAATCTTATATTTAACGTTATAATGTAGTTAGCAACTATATAGGTTATTTATTAATTAATTTTATTATACATAAAAAATTGATTTGTAAATATTTACTATTTATAATACTGTAATCTGTAAATTTTTTTATAACTGTTAACTAATTTGGTATAAAATAATTTTATTATCAATATCTTTCAGAATTATGCCAGATCAGACTTGTCAATGGTCAATATTGACCTAACCAATTTTGGACAGTCTGGTTTAAAAGCTTAATGCTGGTCAAAATAATCAAACACATTTCCATAATTTAACTATCGTAAGGAAGTGTTTGCTATAGTTATGCCTCTAATAGATGACGTAATATAAAAACTGAAGTAAAGTATGGAATTTGAATCTTTTATGACTATTAAACATTTATTATAGAAGATATAAATTTATGTGAACTTTATTTGAGGATGAATTCTGAGTGTATATGATACCTTTTAGCTCGTAGAAACTTCAGCAATAAATTTGTCTTAGGGAACGTAGCGTACTTTAACTAAGCTTTTAGGTAAAATTTTTAAAAATGTATTATGATGTGACAAATCGGGTGTCTGATGACGTTTTTTGGATCTCCTGCAACATAGGTGACACCAATTCTAAATCAAATGATTAATAATTCATTTTACTAATGGTGTCACCTATACTGCAAAGATTCCGTTTTTTAGTCCTCTTAAGATATAAAGAACTGATATGCGATGTACTAAACATGCCAAATTGGTTGGAAGTTGCTATTGAACAAAAATATATTACATTATTTGAGTATGGTTCTTTTCAGAATTGGAAAATTATTGGTAAAGGAGGGTTTGGCGCTATACATAGTGCTTATTCAAGGGATACTGAAAAAACTGTAGCTCTGAAGAATTTATATTACGATGATAGTGACATTTCACTTGATGACTTTATTAAAGAAGTAATTCATATAATATCATCTATATTTTTTATTTGTGTTCTTATTTACGTCTTTATTCACATTTTTCTGTATTATATCTTATAACGTACTATAAGGTTAAAAACATTAATAGAGTTGCATATCATGATAGTATTATAAGCTTCTTTGGAATCACACAAGGTATACTAGATTTATATAGTATAAGAATGAACACTATTATTTAACCAATAATTTCGAACAATTTAGATCCGAAAACAGAGGCGTACTATATGGTTCTTCAATTCGCTAATAAT